GGAGGGTAGGGGCAACGCTGGGGGACAGGAGACAGCACGGGGAGGGGCAGGGCCGGGGGGATGTGGCAGCAGCTCTCAGAGCCCTCTGCTTCGTGCCGGAGCCCGGTCAGCAGGGCTGGAGGATGCTGGAGCAAGGCTGGGGGTCAGCAGAGAGGATGTCAGGGACGTGGAGTCACCCAGAGGGGATGGGGGGAAAGCTCAGAGGCAGTCAGAGGGGGCTGCAGTACCCCCCGGCCTCCCAGTGCATCCCCTCTCTTGTCCCCAAGACCTATACCGAAAGGTGTTCGTCTTCCGGAAGGACCCCAGCGACGCCTACGTGGTGCTGAGGGCGCAAGGCTGGGGGTCAGCAGAGAGGATGTCAGGGACGTGGAGTCACCCAGAGGGGATGGGGGGAAAGCTCAGAGGCAGTCAGAGGGGGCTGCAGTACCCCCCGGCCTCCCAGTGCATCCCCTCTCTTGTCCCCAAGACCTATACCGAAAGGTGTTCGTCTTCCGGAAGGACCCCAGCGACGCCTACGTGGTGCTGAGGGCCAAGCTGGAGCAGCCACTGCAGAACTTCACCGTGTGCCTGCGGTCCTACACCGACCTGACCCGGCCCCACAGCCTCTTCTCCTATGCCACCAAGGCGCAGGACAACGAGATCCTGCTCTTCAAGCCCAAGCCCAGCGAGTACCGGCTCTATGTGGGGGGCAAGTTTGTCACCTTCCGCGTCCCCGAGGGCCACGGGGACTGGGAGCATGTCTGTGCTAGCTGGGAGTCGGCCACGGGCATTGCCGAGTTTTGGCTCAATGGGAAGCCCTGGCCCCGCAAGGGGCTGCAGAGGGGCTACACGGTGGGGGTGGAGGCGGCCATCCTGCTGGGGCAGGAGCAGGACGCCTTCGGGGGCGGCTTCGATGTCTACAACTCCTTCTCAGGCGAGCTGGCCGAAGTCTACCTGTGGGATGTGGGGCTGTCCCCAGACAAGATGCGAGCTGCCTACCAGTCCCTGTACCTGCCGCCCGCTGTCCTGGCCTGGAAGAGCCTGGTCTACGAGGTGAAGGGCGATGTGGTGGTGAAACCCCGGCTCCGGAAGGTGCTGGGGCCGTGAGAGCCTCAGCCCCTGCCCTCCCCTCCCCGTCCCCATCACCCCTTCACCTCTACAACCCGCCACGAAGAAGGTGCCACCTGCATGGGGGTCAGTGCCTGCAGGCACCTGGGGACACAGGTCACGCTCGAATGTCACCATTGCTTACCCGTGCTCACCCTGGCACAGAGCCCAAGCAGCCCCAGGGCCACGGCACGATGGCTCTGCAGTGTCCCCTCGCCGCGGGCTCGGCCCCAGCTGGGGCTCTGCCTCCGCACCCTCGCAGCACTTTTCGGC